AATTGGAGAAGTTCTTAGTCTTGGGCCCTTATTACTATGAGAATCTCATCTTACTTCAAAGCAGGTAAAAAAGCATAAAGGAGATGAAGTAGTAGGAATATCAGGCTGGTTATTCTACATTGTACAGTAAAGATTAAGAATTATATAAGAGTAAAATTTAAAGAGATTACAAATCGTTGCTTAGTTTGTGAATGATATTCTCACTTGGACCAAAAGTGTCTATTTTTCACAAAAATCCATAATATTCTTCATAATAAACCAAATTATTATCCATTTATTAAGTGTCTATTATGGACTGCACATTTTGCTAGGTACTAGTGATACAAAGACATGAATGAAACAATCCTTCCCTTCAAGGAAATGACATTCTATTAGGTAAGACAATTCTATATACAAAATCAATAGAGCACACAATAATTGAGAAAATCTGGACTAGTAGCTAGTGGAATGGGAAAAGTTTTATGTAAAAGATAGAATTTAACTCTCCTAGAAGGGAGAGAGACAGTCAAAGGCAAAGATATTCTTTGACAAGTAGGAAGGCCAATTGAGCAAGATCATAGACTGTGGGAAGTGTAATAATGTATAATAAGGTTGGAAAGGTAGGTTGGGACCAGGTGACAATGAGCAGTAAAAGCTAAATAGAGTTATTTAATATTTGGTTTTCAATGCAGTAGGGAAGCCACAGGAGCTTATTGAATGGGCAATGTCATGATTAAACCTGAGCTTTAGAAAAATCATTTTAAGTAGCTGTATAGATGATGGATTGGAATAGAAAGTTCTTGTGCCATGGAAACCAATTAGAAGGCTTTTGTAACAGTTCACAAGAGAAAGCATGAGGGCCTGATTTAGAGTGGTGCCCCTGTGATTTAAATGATGGGAACAAGTAAAAGATACGTAGAAGTAGAAAAAATAAGATTTGGCAACTGATATGGAGTGAAAGAATCTAGGAAAATGCCAAATTTATGAATCTGGGTGACTGGAAGAAAGGTGATGTCCTTGACAGAAGTAGGGAAATTCATAAGAGGAGTAGGTTTTCAGAAAAAAGAATGAATTCTCTTTGGGACATATTGAACATGAGATAACTATGGAACATCCAATTTGAAATGTCCAGTAGATACATGGAAATACATAACTGGAGCCCATAGGAATGCTAATATAGATTCTCTAGTTACCTACAGAAAGATAATAATTAAACACATACAGGAGCCAATAATGCTACAAAAAAGTGAATTTAGAAATAGAAGAGGGTACATGATGGAGCGTCAGGGTGTTCCAACATTTAAACCAGCAAAGAAGATTAAGATGTAGTGGTCAGACAGGTAGGAAAACCCCCACACCCCAAAAAAATCCCTGAAAGATTCTCATCCTTAGTTCTCATGTCAAATGCTGAAGAAGGGTTAAAAAAAGAGACTTAAGAAAAAGGTGACATGATGACTGTTCTTCAAAAAAATAATGAACAGTATTAGAGAAAACTAATCAAATAATAAAAATAGAATTGAACTCCAGATCTAGAGTGGTATTTTATCCTTCCATAATATTATAACAAATAAATGATTTTCATGGGTTTCGGTTTTTTTTACTTTTTTTTTAGGCATTTGGGTTTAAGTGACTTGCGCAGGGTCACACAGCTAGTAAGTGTCAAGTGTTTAGTCTGAGGCCGGATTTGAACTCAGGTCCTCCTGACTTCAGGGCCGGTGCTCTATCCACTGCGTCACCTAACTGCCCCAACTTCATGGGTTTTGACATTAAGAAAAGCTTATGATTTAAAGAATTAAAAAAGCAACATTTACATATAAAAAGAACCTTATAATTTCCTTTAATTTGCAGAATTTGTATACATTTTACTATTAAAAATAATTACTATTTATGGGTCTCATTCACTTTCATGTAGGTAAGAAAGGAAGAAGTACCTTATTTTATGTGAAGTTTTTGCAACTTTGGGTTAGCAACTTCCACTTGATTCTGTGACTTATGAAATGCCAGTAGAGCTTTGATGGATTTGACTTGGCAATGACCATATGTCAAACAAAAATATGTGTAAGGTAGAGGGGACATGAGTCTACCTCCTTACATATGTTTTAAAAGTACTATTTCATTTCTACAATATGTCATGATGTTGAAGAATAATATAAAACTGAATACTTCTTGACAATGCTTTTAAAATATTATTTTAATAAACATACTTAAAATGTTTCCTTGTAAAATTTACAAAGTACTTTCTGAAAGTGTTATGTTTAAAACTAATTAACATGATCCATTTATTGACATGATAATTTAATCTACTTCAACATTTCTGACACAGTCTCTAGCTTTGCTTAAAAAATAGCATTATCACCATAGTTTATTGTATTTGATAAAGATTCCAAATTAGAAAAGATATGTTACATTCGGTTGTAAGATCTAATTATAGCACAGGCTAGTTACACTAGTAGAAAATGTACTTTAGGGGGCAGCTAGGTGGCTCAGTGGATAGAGCACTGGCCTTGGAGTCAGGAGGACTGAGTTCAAATGTGGCCTCAGACACATAACACTAGCTCTGTGACTCAGGGTAAGTCACTTAACCCCAATTGCCTCACGAAAGAAAGAAAGAAAACGTACTTTGGGTGGGCCCAGTACTGTCTCCATTAAATATAATCAAATGTTTTTCTGTTCAACATAATTCCTTAAAATTAAAAAAAAACATGCTACCTTAAATGCAGTGATATAGTATTCTGTAGTCTGTAGGGATTTCTTCTATTTTCTGTGAATCCCTGTTCATGACAGTATTGTTTAGCAAATGATATTTGCTCTCTTATTAACTATATCCTTTACTTATAGAAACTTTATTATGTGTTTCCATCCATATTGTAAGACATCTCTTCAAATGGATATTCAGTTCCCATGGGAATATTCCAAAAAAATTTTTGTACTTCTACAAATCATTAACAGGGCTTCCAATGCCTAGCTGTAAATAGGCCAATTGTAGCATAATTTGTACAAATACTATATTAAATAAACATTTTAGTGTCCAACATAGATACTTGGAAATTACAAGAATTCCATGAAGCTAAGTGTGAATTTTTCCTAGAATGAAAATTTGATTATAATACTTGCCAGAAGCATGCAAGATGCATTGCTTCTTTGTGATAAGGCATGTTCTATATCATCTGTATAATCAAGTACAGAATTATAGTGGCCAAAGTCAAAAGTAGTCAAACTATAATCCTATAGGAATGTTAATAAAATATAAAATTTTTCCCTTTCCATCTAAAGCATCATCATTATAATGTTAGCAGTCTTGAAAATAATTGCACCTTGTTTTTTTCCATGAGCCTAGCTGAGAAAGTTGCATTTGACATAAGACTGATCTTTAAGCTGGTAAAACAATACTAAGAAAATGATTATAAATAATTTCTCTTCATTCATTTTCTTTAAATCTTTACATTATTTCTCCCTATGGAGTGAAGGTTAAGAATATTTCAGGCAAAGAGAAAAAATAAATGAAGTAGTTATATTTTAAGAGGAATTATTGAATAGGTAAATCTTGAATTCTTTCAGAGGAATGTTAGTATAGCTTGCAAATAAGAAACCAAATATAAAGGATATTCATGCCAAAATCACACTGACATAGTTTTCAACTTCTCATGTCCTCATGGACGTGGAAACAAACAAAATAAAAGTCTCCTATTTTAAAATGTAAAGCTTTGGGGGATTATTAATTCTATATTATGTTCTTGAATAATAGTCCTCTGTTTTTCAAATAGATGAAAATGAGTGCACCAATCCAAATGCTTGTGGTTCTGCCTCCTTCTACAATACCTTTGGAAGTGACAGGTGTACTTATCCATCCGGATTGTCTTTTGACCAGTTTTCCAGTGAATGCCATGATGTGAATGAATATTTATCAACAAACAACCTACGCAATTACGGTTGTTCCAACACAGAAGGCGGTTATCTCTGTGGTTGCCCACCTGGGTACTACAGAATCAGACGAGGGTGAGATAATCCCATTAACTACTATTAAGAGTTTTGTATTCTCTTGTATGTGATGCTAAAAAAGAGACACTTATTATGTGAAAAAGTTATTCTAATGATGATGATATGAAACCCAGAATACATATTATGGGCAAGGAAGGGTGTGAGGAGTGGCAGAGTAAGAGAATATCAGCAAGGTTGAGGTATAGCAGGGACTCTGTGTGCCCTAAGATTTCTATGATAGCTGCAAAAGCCTGGAAGAAACCTTGAAACACCAGGTAGTTAGACTCTGGCAACACCACTGATTAGGTTAACATCCTGCTACTGCTATGAAATGCCTTCTATGAATTTAAGAAATAAATGGGGCAGCATATGGGTTCAAGCTGGGACTACTTGAAACTGTCATTATGATCATTTTGTCATAAAGGACTGTGAAGTCCTTCTTATTATGTACTCCAAGAAGGCAATCTACATTGGAACAAATCAAACATACTAATACCTCACCTGATAGAAATGCTTCAGTGCAGATGACACTATCCACAAAAGCATACAAATCACAAGTGTGCATGAAATACTTACGTTATGCTCTACTACTGTATCATAAGAAAGATAGAAAGAGAACTCGCCAATTATAAACAAAGGTTTCATGCTGCTTTTTATCAGAGGCATCAAAATTCCAATTCACAGAACCATGTATGCTGACCAATGCAGGGCAGTTGTAGAAAGTAACTTCATCCCCAAGCTTAGATTAGATGCTACAAAAGATAAAATCAAGAAAATGATAAAAATTAAAGAAAAGTTGAAGACCCTAATGTCATTAAAATAATTAATGCAAAACTTTTCCCTAATAACAAAATAGATACCAAAAATAGCAGCAACATATCAGTTAATTTTGAAAAATATTTGGGCATGCTTAGAAAAAATTCTGAAAATTCCTTTCTGAATTTGAAAAACAGAGTGATTTTTAAAATCTGATATCTACTGCATGAATTCCTGCATAATAAACACATTGTATTACAGTATTTGACAGAAAGTACAAAAATCTTCCAGGGTCTACACACTTCAGTATAAGTCATAGGCTTGCCAAGGTAAGAGGGATAATAGAAGAAAGGTGGAACTAACAAGGAATACCCTTAAGAAGAGGGACCAAGCAATGCCATGACAGAAGCAGTTTGAGAGATCTATTGAATATCTGTAGAAAGGCATATATCTAACTGGTACATGCTATAGAAAACTTGAAAGCCATATCACCCATTTAAAGGCAACAAAATAGAAGCCTTTGAAAAGAAATTCAGAAAATAAAAGCATATCAGAAATTTTAAATTATTTTAATTAGCAAATAAAAACAAAAGTCTAAATGTTAAAGTTATATCAGGCAGAGCATCACAGAGAACAAAATAAACAATTCAACCTAAATTAAGAACTTTACTACAGAAGCTTGAGAAATAAAGACAAGAAAGAATACCTGAAGAAGAATGTTGAAAATTCTGCTCTATGTCATCACAAAAAGTCCAACACAATATATAGGCAAATTGGACCATGAAAAATAGAAAGGTTGTGTATTGTTATTATAATGAATAACAAATGGTAATATCAAGGGAGTTGAACTAAAGCCCTGGCTTCTTTAAAATACTGTAAAAATGGTGAAAGATAAGATGGATAATTTTTGGCTAAGAAGTTTCAAAGTGGTTCATAAATTGCCAGCAAAGCACTTTACCAGCTTAGACACAAGCCTTTCTTAACAGAAAGTATCATATTTTTTTTTTAACCAAAGGTGAAAAACACCAGCAATTCCTCTCCCAATCATGGGATGATTATATGTTTATATACAAAGCATTCACAGATTGTGCCACAAAAAATGAATTATAAACGCTTGGAAAGAAACTAATATCTTACCTGAGGAGCAAAAAGGTTGTGCCAAAAAAGTCCCAGGGTTATAAAGAGTGGCTTATTGGTTTGGTAATTGTTGAAAGAACTGCCCAAAAGCATGGTAACATTCATCTTGCCTTTATAAGGTACCACAAATCTTTTGACTCAGTTTCACACTCATGTCTTATATGTACACTGCAAATATATAAAATAGATCCAAGCATAGTGCAAATTTTAGATTGTTTGATGTCCTGGAAATTTTTCGATTTAAAATGTGCCACCAACACAAAAAACATCAAGAACAATCAATGTAAAATACAGTCTTTTTCAGGCAGGCAATTTAAATCATTATGATTTTGCCTAGACTGAAATCGATTATCATCTCTTCCAAATAGAATTAAGGATGGCTTTCACATTAAAGCGAGTCAAATCAAAACACCTTATTAAGCACTTGATTTACATGTAGTGTAGCTCCACCAAAAATATATTAAACTCTTCCTTCATCATCTAAAATCTTTCTCTAACTATATCAGAATGTAATTTGAACTTGATAATTGTTAAATTCTTAATGAACACTAAGGAAAGAGAGAGACTAAAGGCTAAAAACCTAAATCAGGTTACACTGAACCAAAAGATAAAAGTGATATCTTAAGGTATCTTGAACCTTCCAGGCAAAACACATTAGGAATAGATATATCAAAGAGAAGTCTGTGCTGAATATATTTATACTAGCATCCTAAAATCAGAGCTAAATGGGAAGAACACATTTAAAGCAATTAACACCTCAATATCAGTTTTAATGTATACTTTTAGAAGTATAAAATGAATCATAACAGATTTGAAAAGCATACTAACAAAAACCCGTATTATAATAATAAAAAGGGATCTATCACACTAAGGCAACTATAGAAAGAATAGCACTTCTTTATCAGAAAGGAGGAAGAGGGTCAATTGATATTCTTAGAGCAAATACTTAATAGGTCAGAAATCTATAGAAATACTTTTGGAACAAGCAAACATCACTTCAGCAAGAAATAGTAAAGGCTGATAAAAAAATACACACCACTGAGTTTGTTGAGTGTAACCAAATATGATTTACCTCCAGATGAAGCCAATAGGCTATGATCCAAGAGTAAAATCAATAATATGTCAACAAGAAAACAAACACATCAAACAACCAACTCGTGCAGAGTTTACGTGGTAATGGAAGAGTTTATGCTGGCAATTCAGGACCGAATCTTTGCACCAAAATTACAAAAGGGTCATTATCCTTAAGCAGCTGGGATTTAGTGATCAATATAGATTATACAAGGAAATGGTAGAAACTACAAAACATTATTGCCAACTATAAAAATTTAGCACCTTCTAAATAACTAGCAAGAAAGGACCTGTGAATTAGAATCATACTTCAGAAGGATGTTATCTTTCATCAACTGACAGATGACAAATCCTTGTACTACAAATAAAGACTCCAAATATCTTGGCAAATTAAACCAACTAAATTGATACCATAGCATGATCACATACTGAACACTCAATCTCTCAGACATAACTTTAATCCATAAAAACTTGAAAACAATGTTTCTAATAGATGCAGCCATACCAAATACTCATAATCTCCAAGCTGCGTGGAAAGAAAAGATCTCTGGCTTTCACTGAATAAAATAACTCCACCTACCACCAGGTTGTATTTCAAGGGATGGCCTATATAGTCTAATATCCCTCAAGGGGTCTCTCTCCACTCATCTCTTTGCCTAGACTCTCCCCTCTGTGGTTAAATGCTCCATTCTTTTTATTCTTACCCCTATCCCAGTGATCCTGATCCCCCTGCTGCCTATGAAAAACATCATTTCCATCCCTAACTCATCTCTCCCTCAGCCCTAGGCACTTCAAACCTATTCTCCTCATGAACAGTTTCTTTTCATCTTAATCTTTCATCTCTGACCTTCACTGAGACCTGGCTTACTTCTGATGACACCTTACCACCCTTTATAGTAATGGCTATTTCTGGAATGTACTGTTATGATCCATTTCTTAGTTGAAGCTTCTTGAGTTCAAATCTGGCCTCAGACACTTAGTAGCTGTGTGACCTTAGACAAGTCATGTAACCCTGTTTGCCTCAGTTTCCTCATCTGTAAAATGATCTGGAGAACCACTACCATTTCTTTGCCAAGAAAACCCCAAATAGGGTCCCAAAAAGTCAGAAACGAATGAAATGGCTAAATAACAAAAAATCCATTTTATACTTCTGACTGTCATAACCCCACTCCCAAATTATTAGTTGCAGTGGGGGGAATCAGTATATCCCTAACTCCCCATTTTTAATTTCACATTCTCTACTATCACTAAGCAAAGTAGAAGTCCTTTGAGGTTCACAGCATCCAGATTTATCACCCAATCCTAATCCTTGTAGTTTTTATCTGTGAATTCTTGTCCTCTAAGGTATTCTCCTTCTTTCCTTAATGAGTTAAGTTTCTGATTCAGTCTTTCTCCTCAACTCATGCCTTCATGGTAGACGATCTCAACATATATCAATGCTTCCTCATATACCCTTACTTCAAGTTCCTTTCTCTTGACCTACTCTTTCACTTTACCTCATTTATACACAGAGGTAGTTATATCCTTTATCTTAACATCACTCAGGAGTATTTCAATTTGTGTTTGTGAAATTCCCTTATCTGTTAAGAATCTTCTATTATTCCACCTTTCCCTTTATCTTAAGATCTCTGAGCTCTTCATCCACACTATGACCTTCATCCTGTGGCCTTTGGTTTGTTCCCAGACCATGACCCTGAACTTACTACACTCTTCCCTTCTTCAACATCTTGGTGTACCAGTTCAACTCTACACTATCCTCTGCACTCAAATCAATTGCCTTTTTGTCCTGTCATTGATCATGCCTTGCTAAACCCCTATTCTGGATTCTTCTAATCATTGCCCTTTCCTCCTATTCACATGATGTTGATGGACTGGGAGGAAATCATGAAACCATGCTGTTGGGGTCCATTGCAAATTTGTGTTATCTAAGCTCAGCTAAGCTTTAACTGCTATAAGGCAGACATTTATTCCATTCCTAATTGATTCTCCTAATTGATTTCATTTCCACGGTGTTATTCCAAATCTTATTTGTCCTCAAACCTCCCATGACATTC